CCTGGATGTCTGTGGCAAGAAGCAAGCAAGCCGGCCGCCCTCCCTGTTCACCTCCCCTCCTCCGCTCTTGTCTTCCTCCCACCCACCCACCCTTCGACGGTGAGGCTGCCGGCTTCCCTGCGGCCCTTCCTTTCCGGGTGGGTGGAGGGGCTGTGCTGCCCTGAGAAGTGCATGGCGGGCCCAAAGGGGTTCTCCTGTTCTCCATTCTCTTCTCACAACGGCCCTGTGAGGTGTGCTCGGCCTGACTGGGCAAGGGTCGCCTCCACGGTCACATCCCCCATAGAAATCAGGCTTGTATAAACATACCTGTCATTTCTAGTCTATCTAAATTGACTGAAGGGATTGCATGTCCACCCAGAGCTTTGCCAAAAAGGTGGGCGGAGGGGGGGTGGGAGCAGGCTGCCCTGAATTCCGAATCTGAGAGATTCCGGATGTGACAGGATGTGGCTGCCCTTATGTGGGCCAACACCAGAGTTTATAAACTAAGTCTCCTCTAAAGACATGAGATGTTATTCTGAGCGTGCCATGATAGATACTGGTTTCACAGTGGGCTCCCCCCAACCCCCTCCCGGGCACTGAGTCAACTGTAGGGCATTGTTCTTTGCGCTGAGAGCTTGCTTGGCAGAAGTTTCATAACTCATTCTAACGGTGAACTGTACAGCTCTTCATTGTGGCCAGCCCTTTCAAGGTCGTAGAAAGGAAGAGTAACTCTTGCCAGAAATCAGGAAAAATTCGGTAGACAGAATACGTTCAAGCCCGGCACATCTAGCATGTCTGTGAATGCCATAGGTGAGCTGCAGAGCCTACATGACACTACATTCCATCACACCTCAGTGTACACTTACAGGTCTGTCATGTGCATGCCTTTTTTTTTTGCCTTGTCTCGCCCCACACGCGGTGCAACTGCGTGCAGAATTACTTCCATCTAATACCATTGTTTTCGATGGGCTTAAACTGGAGTAATGTTGCTGAAGGATCTGAAATGATTTCTTTTCGCTCCCTGCGTGACTACCGTCTAAAAATGGGAAGCGTTTGTCCAAGGATGCTGGAAATGACCAAGAGGTGACTAGGTGTTCCATTAGTTCATATCATTTGCCTGAGATGGAGTTCTGTTGCCTCCCCGTAATATATCCTCATTTATAAATTCTTGATCTCTCTCCAGACCTGCCCAGTTTGTTTAGCAGGTGGTAATCCTTCTGGGGAGGGGCCTTATTCTTCTTGGCCCTCTGATGGTACTGAGGAGGAAGAAAGCAGAGCAATAGCAGTTGGAATTCAGAATGTATCAGCACATGAATATTTTAAATAAATGTTTGTGCTTGCTGCTCACCCATAATCTCTTATTCCCCACCCCCATCTTCCAAGTCCTCTGTGCATGCCAAAAGTTTATCCTAATGCCTTGGGTTTTGTAGTCAAAGCAACAAGTAAACTTCTCACACTGTTTTTGTTGGCTGCAGAGTTCAGTGGCGTGACCCCAGACTATTTCTCCGCTCTCTGACTAGGAAAGATGTACTGATTGGACCGGAGCAGAGTGGGTGGCTGGTGGCCAAAGGTCCCAGGTTAAATCCCTGGCATATCCTAAGGCCTCTGCCAAACCTGTTGGGCAGCTGTGGACAGAGATGGTCCAGTACCAGGACTCAGGAGCAGGCAGGTTATTGTCATACGGTAGATTAGTGGGACAATGGAAGGTTTAGCATATTTGAGATGGATGCGTGTTATCACAGCTCTGGGTAAAACTGGTCACCAGAGATGGTCTCAAAGAATTCAGCTGAATTTGTAATTACCAAAAAAGACATGTGTATTGTCGATGCTTTCCGTTTTCTGTTTATTTTGCTTTGATATAAGGATCTGAAATTACGGCATGTCAGATTCAGCATATTCCAAATCCCTCTGTTTGACTTGATGCACCTTTATGCTTATGTAACAAGCCTTGATTTTCTTAATGGTCAATTTCTTAGTGTTTCAAATCTAGAATAATTGATACCCTATCAGACAACATTCTGTTCATAACCATCTGCCATTCTTTTCTAGTCTTGTCCTTTTTAAGTTGATCAAGATTGAACTTGTTGACCCATGGACCTGTTTGTTTTGTGATTTGTCTTCCAGTCTAGGCAAAGACATCATTATGGCAGCGGATTCTATGGAAATTGATGATGCTCTGTACAGGTAAAACTCATGAAACTTTGATCCATGTTAGATGTGTTTTCCTAATGGGGTGGATTTGACTTGCTTTTCATTGAAATGGGAGTTTCATTCAAACTAATATGGAATACGCCTGGTTACCACTACGCATGCCCTTTTTAAGGAAGGAGATGGCGGTTAGACTTTAAGAGTGGGAGTCATTTTCATGGCATTGAACTAGCCTGCGTCTGGGGGGTGCGGGGGACTGAACAGCAGATTCATTGAGTGTCTGGAACGTGAGGACTGCTTGTGTCATTGTAACCACACTCTCTGAAGCTTTGCTGAAGGAATCCCTCCTTTTCAGCGATCATCAATGGTTTATTTTCTTCCTTAGAAATAAGGCCTACCCTGTCCCATGCAGACATAATGCCTCTCGTCTCCTAACCGTGGTTTGCTTGCATACGGCCCCTCCTCCCCCTTGCAGCTGTGGTGGTTCAGGGGAGGGAGGAGTCAGGAGACCTGGGAACTAACTCCTGGCATGAGCTCTGGAAGCCTGGCCATTCCCCGTCTGCACATGCCCCGAGGGTGCCTGAGTTGCTGTGATGTTGCAGCATGCTTTTGAGGGAAACAGGCCAAGAGAAAGACATGCATCCCTTGAGTATTCTCGCTGGAAGGGGGTTCCCTTGAATGGGACATGCATGAGCCTCTGTTCTCTGCAGTGCTGTCCCAGTTGCTCAGTGTTCAAGCATGACAGTTTTCACTTATTGTGATCTCTCCCCAGAGGAGGTCTCCATGGTGTACACCCTGGAAGCTTTCCATGCGCAATCCAAGGTATGTGATTGCTGCTGATCTCTCTTGACACTTAACAGCACTGACCACCCCCCCTTCTTAGGAACAGTCTTCTGAGAATATCAAGAAAACTTTTGTTCTCATGCCTGATAATAATTATTATTGTATGGCATTGTGTGTAATATAGCCAGGAGATCCTAAGATTGTCTGGCAGCTGGAAGTTGTAGCTTTTTAGCAATATGCATTATGTATTAGCATTATGCACCCCTAGGTGGTGACCTAGACTTGTTTCTGGGCTGAGAGAGCTCTCATGCCTGTCAGGAAACTATGGAAGACCAAGTAGTTCAGGAGAGCCTCTGAAGGTGGTTCGTAGGAATGGAAACGGTTGGTTTTTTCCTTGCCCTGGCCCTCTGTTCTTAGGTGACTGTTCTTTGTTTTTTAAAATGTTGTGGGCTGCTTTGGGACCCTTTGAGAGAAAAGCAGGACAGAAATCTTTTAAACAGTGCCAGTGTTCGTCTTCCCGTTGCCTTTCCAGAGCCAACGGTTGCAGACCTTGACCTCTGCACCAGTGTGTCATGTTAAGGATGGGTAGCGCCAGAGGAGAGTTTGCAGCGGGAGGGTAAAACCCTGTTGGACTTTGTGTTTCTAACTAACTACAGAGACTGTTAACATTGGTGCACACGTGCAGAATCCCAAATTCACAGAGTGGAGCATCTACAGATTGGTTGGGAGCCAGTGCTGTGTGGTGGTTAGAGCATTAGACTACGGTCTGGGAGACCCAGGTTCAAATTCCACTCTGCTGTGAAGCTTGGTGGATGATCTTGGGCCAGTCATCTGCTATCACCCTGATCTACTTCATAGGGCTGTTTTGAGAACAAAAAGGGATGGGGGAAAAAATGCTTGCCACCCTGAACTCCTCACATCAGTGCTGGATAAAAATGAGATAGGTTGAAAACTTGTGTACAAAGATAATGCTACACCATGGTTAGTGCTGCGAAAGGGAAGGGGGAGATTCATGCATTAAGAATCTCTTATTACGGTTAAAAGATTGGGAACATTATGTCTGCACTGGGTGACTGCTAGCAAAAATATAGGTAAAGGTAAAGGTTCCCTTGCTCGAAAGCCAGTCGAATACGACTCTAAAGTTGCGGTGCTCATCTCCGTTTCAAAGCCGAAGAGCCAGCGCTGTCCGAAGACGTTTCCGTGGTCATGTGGCCGGCATGACTAAACACCAAGGCGCACGGAACGCTGTTACTTTCCCACCGAAGTGGTACCTATTTATCTCCTTGCAATTTCTTGCTTTCGAACTGCTAGGTTGGCAGGAGCTGGAACTAGAGACGGGAGCTCCCCCCGTCTTGCGGCACCCGGGTCTTGAACTGCTGAACTACTGACCTTCCACAGCCTGCAGTTCAGCGTCTTAACCACTTGAGCCACCGCAGCTCCATAGCAAAAATATGGAGGACATTAAAAAGATGGAAATCGGAGAACTGCTGTTTGTCATGGACATTCTGGAAGGCAAGGCTTGTCGGGGTGACGTCCCATCTCCCCCCCCCCCACTCTCTTGCCAAGCCCAGCATGGAGCCCTGGGCTGCCCAGCAGCTTTCTGCGGTTCGCCCGGAGCAGCTCTGAGCAAGCTGGCGGAGACCCCCCTCCCCCCACCGCTGGTGCCTGTGGCTCGCCTGGAGCAGCTTTGCGTGAGTCAGCAGAGAGACTCCCCTGCTGCCCCCACGCTCTGTGGCTCGCCTGGAGCAGCATCTCCCTGCCCAGCTCTCTGCAGCCCTCCGTGTGCGGCGGCGGCAGTGGGGGGGGGGGGGGTCTCTGCTGGTTCACCCAGAACTGCTCCAAGCAAGCCAGCAGAAACTTTCCCCTCCCGGTTGGGATTTTATTTTATTGGGTTTATATCCTGCCCTTCCGACATAGCAGGCTCAGGGCCCTGCGGGATTTATTACAGTCCCTCAGGGCCTGTAAAACGGAGCTGTTCCACCAGGCTTTCAGCTAACTGGTGGCTGTCCATTCCTTTAGGCCCCTCCTGGCCAAACTGCCCTCGGATCGCCTTATGGCCCGGGTAACAGTCACCACCACCATCAAGGGTAATGGGACTGTTTACCATGTTTCTGCCCACCTGACCTTCAACACAAGCGGCACAATTGATTATTGCTGGCTTTTATTCAGGATTCTTATTGTTATGAAGAAGGTGTTTTATCGTTTATGACCTGCCTTGAGCCTGCTTGTGGGGGAGGGTAGGATACAAGTTAAATAAAATAAATACATAAATAAATCCCCTGAGTTTGCGGGAACGTCTGTTGAGCTTCCATGTGGATTCATCTATCTGCCGGTGGGTGGCTATTAGAATATAAGGTGTTCTTTGTAACTTGCATATTATTGTTTATTTGTCAGCAAGCTGCCATGGTGTTCTGTGTTACTGGTACTTCGGTACAGTTGTTCCCCCCCTCCCCCCTAGCCTCTGCGCTGTTATGTTACCCTGCTGTAATGCCTAAGCCAAACAACTGGAGGATGTGTCGGGGGAGTTTGCTTCATTGCCGGCTTGTTGCTTTTCTCGCATGGGAACTGCTCCTGTGTTATGTCTAACGATCACCTTGTTCTCAGGGAATGGGCGCGCAACCGTTTCCTCTAACCCGCCAGCGGGAAAGTGACCCATTGGTTCTATACCTGTTTTGAATTCCTTTATTATGCTTGACCTGCCATTCTGTAGTCAGTTCTAACAAAGAACGTGTTTGAGTGTCTTTCCAATGCTTTGAAATAAATTTTACTTTCTTTGAAACGTGGATTTATTCTCGATGCTTGGGGATCCAACATATTGTTAG